GAGAGGGTGTAGGTCTGTTCTAAGGCAGCAGGCGTTTCGTAGCGTCGAAGGGCAATAGAAATGTTGACTTGTAGGAAGAGAAACTACGATACGCCAGAGAAGGTTATGGTTGTTCCAGTAACAATTTAATGTTCCTCAAGTCTACCTATATCTTGGTAAAGCTTCAGAAATTTGGTATAGGAGGTTAAAAAGGGAATTATGGGCTGGGGGTCAATTCCAAGGTCAACATCTGTGGCATGGTGAGGCGCATAACGGAAAGACTTATGATGCGCTTATCAAACTTTTCCACCTGAGATTGACTATCCTCTGACTAAAATAACCACATGACACCTGACAAATGCTATGAAGTCGTAGCGTCGAAGAGTGATGGAGATGCGCAAGTGGCAAAGTAGTGCCATAAGCTTTTGGTAAAAGGACTGTTAAGCCATAAAAGCTCTATTTTGTTATAGCCTGGACACAAAACAGCTGGGTTAACGTTCTGTGAAACGCAAACTGGCTTCCTGCAGCATACTTGCTCTTGAATGAGAAGCCTATAACATCCATGTAGCAAACTTATACAACACCTTTATATGATAAATATAGAACTGTTGCATAAATGTTTATACAACTATTTTATATGACATATTAGCTCGGTAGTCAAAATGGTTGTGTTGTGGTATTCATGGTAACATTTATACAACAAACCCGCAGAAGTATTATGTAAAAAACCTAAAAAACGTCAAAAAAAATAAACAAAAACCGACAAAATGTAATTTTGCAGACTAGGTAGTTTTTAGTGAGCAAATTGCTCATTCCATGTTTGCTCACTATGATCGCGTTGTTGGTTGCAGAAAGCCGAGTGTATATGTTATGAGAAGCTGAGTAGTCTGTTGTGTTTATATCTGAGAGGATGTGAAAGAAAGAAACTTGGTTGAGTAGCAATATCGCTTATGGATGACTATGTCTATTGGTCTGCATGTCTATAAGACCAGGCCATATTAGAAAATTATTACTCAATATGCTGCCAACGAAATATATCAATCAGCTGTGTCTGACGGGTAATTTATATGTTGTCCTTTCTGAAGACGGGTTATGCTCAAAGTTATAAATTAACATTTTTCCTTTTTTTGTGTTTTTATGAACTCTGAGGAGCTCTACAGAAAATCACGTTGTGTGCAATTTAGCCAAATCACAGAAAAATTAGGAATGACACATCACTCATCAAACATCTTCGCAGTGCCTCACATCTAGGTGCTGATTTGTATTTGCTATTGACATCACAAAATATATTGCTCTAAAATTTAAATGGTTGGAAATAAAAAATAACGAAATAACCTTTTCACTTTTATGAATATTCCTGCCTGTAGCGTATTTTCTCACCTGTTACTTCACCGATCAGAGATTTTCTTTTTCTTTTCTCTCATTTTTTAAATTCAGAAAATTTCCGAACTAACAATTATCACTCCTATTAGAGTTGCAAGGATTATTATACAGTACTCCTTAAAGAGCATTGTATACTGTAACAACATTGGCAAAACTCTCTTAGAACAGCTATACAAGCGGAATGGGCACACCTAATAGGACACTTCAGTCAATTAAGAGGTTGTAATTATAAGGGCTGCAGGTAACAGTTATAAAACAAAAGTGTAAGCCTCTTGCAGCCGCTATAGGACATTTACGTCAGTGCAAGATTCAGTTTTTGTCAACTATACAACTATTCTCTTACGTGATTCTACTTTATTGCAACCAAACTATTTCTTATATATTGTATAGACGAAGTGAAGAATATATAACTATCACATTACAGTCATCTTGTTTACTTACATATCGGCCATTGTGAATTTCATACACAAGTATATGATAAACTTCTACACTTTGATATAGGGCTATTGAATTACTTGCGTAGCAAATTTTATTGTGATTATCGTGCAAACTAGTTACCCAATTTCTACGGGCTTCGTATTTGATTCATATTTTGACAATGATCAAAAGTATGTCTAGATTTTTAAGATGGAAAACTGAACTTGTTTGCGTTAAATCTTCCACAAATCCTATATTTAGACACAACTACACTAACGTTTATCACTTTATATCTGTAATTTCGAACTGAAACATAATTATTTAATATTAAATAGAGGAATAAATGTTTTCCCAATATGGCGGGTAGTTGTTTACAATCATGGCATCGTCCATGTTGTCTTTAGGTTATTAGAATATTTTGGTGTTGCCTGCAGGTGTTATACAACAATTTGACAAATGTCTGAAATGAAATACCGACAGAGTCAAATGATTTACCCAGAATTTGTACCAGATCTATATCTTCTGTTTGAACAGTTGATCAAACCTTTTGAACCAATATGCATGTGTTGTTTGTCTTATGCTGGAACCGCACGCTTGCCATTTGCTGCAAACTCCAAACCCCTACAAACGCTTGCCTTTTTTTTTAAGAAGAAAACGTCGCCGTCCACACGTTTGCGGGTACGTCATTGAAAAGGCAACAGGCAAACATGACGGACGTCGAACTTGTGTCTGCCGTAGCATTTGGTTTAAGCTATTTTTATTATTAAACCAAAAAAAAAGTCAGATAAAACGAAAAGTACGACCAAGAAGGTGGTGGATGTTAAATATTCATAGGAATCGTACCAGGTAAATGGTATTTGTTTTAATGAAATTGATATTTAGTTTCAAAAATAGTACCTATCACAAACGTATGGATGTGTCACAAACGCTTGTGGCAAACTCCTTTTGATTTGCGACCAAAAAACCGACACCCGATCGGATCGGCTACAAACGCTTGCAAACCCACGCAAACCAAGCCAAACGTTTGTGACGATTTGCGGCGATTTGGCAAGCGTGCGGTTCCGGCATTAAAACATTGGTTTTAACAAAAATATGACAGCAGAAAGTTAGGTTATGGTGAAGTTGTTTACCAACATATTTAGCATAATATGTACAGCCTTTAACAGTTACTAAACAACAGTTGTATAAGTGCTTCCGTTGGGAGCAATTTGTTGGCTTATGTAGTAAATTGCACAGCAAAACAACAAGGCTCGGGTTTGTTTTATAAACGTTACCATGGATGCCACAACACAAACATTTTGACTAACTTGCTAATATGCCGTATAAAATAGTTGTATAAACGTTTATGCAACAGTTAAAAATTTTCCCTATAAGGTGTATAACTATGCTATAAGAATATTTTAAACACCTCATTTTAGAGCAAATATGTTGCAGAAAGCAAATTTGCATTCCACACAACATTAAGCCAGCATTTTGGTGTTCAGGCAACAACAATAGAGAGCTTTTATGGCTGAACGGTTCTTTTACCAAAAGCTTATACCACTACTTTGCTAGTTGGGTTGCATATGTAATCTCCAGGATGAATAAAGAGAAGTATACGCGCAACTGATTTCTAGCTTTGAATCTCGAGAAGTTTATTTGAGTCAAGAAATCAATGGATTTATCATCAACACAGATTATTAGCACACAAATCCTCACTATGCACCTATGCACTGCCGTTTCCTTCCAGCTATAGTACACAACTTACAGCTTGAACCTTCAATAATGCCATCTCTGAGGTAGATGTTACATCATATCTGAGCCGAAACGAGTTCACAAGGAGTATACAACAGCTAGTTCTGAGTTAACATCTCGTAGACAAACGTACGTTACGTCACAAAAAACTACAAAATTTCAAACCTATATCCAAAATATTTGTTTTAGTGATGAATGTACCTTTTTTCTCAATGGTAATGTGCATGGACAAAATTGTCATTATTGGAGTCACGTCTTCCGGGAAACTCATACTCAATATCCACAAAAAATTAACGTTTGGACTGGGATATTGGGAAATCATATTGTGGGGCCTCTATTCATCGAACAAACTTTATTTGGATATGTTGTAAAAATAATATTAACCCTCTAATCACCGAAATCGACGAAGCGAGTCCTACTGAATTCGATACTGGTATTGAATTCCAGCAAGATGGTGCTCCACCACACTACTACAGACAAGTTAGGAATTATTTAGGTAACAATTTCCCCGGTCGTTGGATTGGCCGTCGAAGTCCTGTGGAATGGCCAGCTAGCTCACCAGATTTCACTTCTTTAGACTATTTTTTATGGGGCTATTTGAAGCAAAAGGTGTACTAAACCGAACCTACTTCAATATTGGATACACGGCTGAAAATAACAAATATTTGTAGAAATATCCATGATACTATGTTTGAATATGTTCGACGCGTAATTACGGACCGGTTGTAATTGTTTCAAGAAGTTCAAGGCAACCATTTCCAGTATCTTCTAAACTGAACTCAACGTATTTATTCGAATTATTAAGTTAAATGTCAATGTATTCAGATAATTATTTAATGTACCACCATTTTGTAGTAGGTAAAGTTATTGACTTTATATTCTAGGTTTATAAAGTACTCGGAGCTTCAAAATGATGTGCCACAAGACCCCCATTTTCATATAATTTTTTTCCAAGATGGCGCCTAGCAACCATCTTGACATTTCATTACCTCAAGTTTTAATTTTTCTAATTGATCCGTTCAAAAAATCAAAGGGGAGGCGGACAATAAAGAAAAGCACTGTATAACTGTTATTTAGTAACTGTTGAAGGCAACAATATCACAACTTTTATAGGACAAAATTGATGTGCTGATGTGCTCGACAATATTTCTTGCTTAATATATAGGTATAAAACTTCACCTGTTGATCTTGAATAACCGACCCGTGATATACGTTCCCCAAAAGAGGGAGAAGGTTTGGTCGAGATTGCAGATACCCAATTTCTTTTAATATTTTCCTATTTAAACCTTTGAGCTTCTTAACTTCCATTATAGTCTCCTGCTTCTAGAACCGGTCGAAACCTGGTAGACTGGTGTAATTTCGAACCCGCAATTCTAATATATCTATCAAAAATCTAGTCTATCAAAAATGCCTAAGCATTACGGAGGCTTCTTTGTGCCTAGAACTAGACATTAACAAGGATTATACTTATAATTATATTGTTGCAGCTGAAGAAAATGATATGAAAAATCTAAACAGAAACCAACAGTAGACAGCACTAGAGCGTTTTCAAACTGAGAATGTATTTATTTTTCCTGGTATGGGTTTTCATGCCTCTAAAAGAATCAGAATCTGGTAAGCGACAAATTGAAAAAGTTGTTATCAAATAGGCCTAACAGGAAACAACTCATACACCAAACAAATATAAATTTATGAACATACAGGGTATCCTTAAAGTTGGGACATTCCTTTACAGAGTCCATAGGTCATGCAACAAATAGCATGTTTTCCTAGTAACACATGTAACAAGGTCTTCAAATAATCGACATTAAGTTCCGAAAAGCTCGGAGTGACCAAGCATGCCCCTGCAGCCTACGTTACAAGGTAAGACAATTGTGTAGTTCTTACCACCGCCTGATTTGAGTACTAACACAATAGTTAGCGTTATTACCTGATTAAGTGCGTGGTGTGTAGGTTAAACTACCTTATATGCATCCGGATTTAAAAGCGCGAAATCGGCACCTTTCTATGCAATAACGAAGTTATCGATTTTATGTTAGTTTGAGGCAAGTACATATATTCAGCTTCTACTGAACTTCGCTAGCGAATTCAATCGTTCCGATGTTGTGGGTAGATTTACTTGCTCGTGCAAAGGCAGTCGAGGCGGATACGGTGTTGAAAACTTTGGAAGAAGTTGACAAACCTATGTATTTGAACGGCGACAAACAAGACAAGTGACTTGGTAGTACTTGAAATTCCTGTTCCAATTTTTAGTTCCATACTATGCATATTAGCTTTGTTATACCAAGCGTAGTTCTGAAAAGGAAAGTTCCTACATCTAGGACACCCTGTATGATATAAATTTATAAAGACTAAGCCTTCAGACCGCATGCCTGAATATTATGTTGATGGTGACAATACTTTTTTAGTCTGTACAATCCCTGTCTGGAATCAGATGTCAGATGTAAACAGATTACCTCATATGACGCAGCATAAGGATGGTGGTGGGTACCAACAGGTGTTACCTACCGGAGGAGTCATATCCTTAAATGAAGGCGGTACTATAATACTAACCTGCTCAGGTTGCACATCACAAAACAATCTAAAGTTTGGTAAGTTTAAAAACTTTCATAGATATGGAATGGGGCTTAAAATATTTACATTAATTTGTTTCAGTCTAAAGCAAATGTCACACGATCAGTATCTACTATGTTTGAGCAAATACGTGGAAATCTGACGAATCGTCACCTACCAATGGTGTACAAGCCAATCGTGCCGATCAACAGATTTTCACCTACATGCGCACAATATTTTGAGTTTTTCAGAAGACCAAACCCACTTGTTTGCTTCTCGTTTTGTTTGTCTCCACAAATATACCTAAGACCTATATCTCACAGATGAGTTACTAATGAGCAACAGCAGCACTGTCTGCACTTGATCATGGTTACAGGAGACGGAAAGCAAATATGTCCATTTCAGGCGAATTAATATGTGGTCCATACCATCAGTCTTTACTGATGATCCATGCTACACGGTTAGGAAATATTACACTCCATGATAAACACCACGAGTCACAGTAAATACTGAAGGTGCGACATTCACCTTAGAAATTGTTCTTCTTTATTTAAGCGGAAAGTGAATCATCAGTGACTGTAACCTGCAAACACTCAAGTCTCTACTACAAAGGTATCCGCCTTGACTTCGAAAAAGATGTTAAATGCAAAAAACTTGTTTGTAACTCAGTAAAGAATACTGGGTCGTGTGGAAGGTCAGGAACAGAGTATCAGATAGGTTATGAAGTTCATGATAGGGACGATGTGCTGACAGATGTGCTGTCTTGCTATGACCACAGCTCCTGGATTCCTTTGTATGCCTTTCATGTCGTACATGGAAGAAACTTGGAAGGTAAGGATTAACTGCCTTTCTCTCAAGCAGGTCTTTCAAGAGAAATATCATCTTTGCGTCAATTGTCCTACCCTTAATATTCAACAGATCATGATTTCATAAAGACAGTCTGCAATACAACGTTAAAGTTAGAACTTTGAAATATATTTGCCTATGAAAACATTCAATATAGCGAGCAAGACTACGATAAGTTAAAAAGGGCTTTGATATAAAAGCCTAGGTATGTCATTTTTTTGAAAGAGATATGGCAGTAGTATGTATTATAAAACGATATAAATTTTCAGGAGCTAAACAGATTCCACGACCGGACTTCCGGAAGGGAACATTGGATAACGGAAGAATTATAGCAGATGTGTTTCAACAAAAGAACCAAACGGAAATATTCAAGCACCTGACTGGTACTGACAAGTACATAACACATTCTAGTTATCTTGAGAAAGGACACCTTGCACCGCAAGGAGATTTTGTCTACCCAACTTCACAAATATCTTCGTTTTATTATATCAACGTTGCTCCTCAGTGGTAAGTTGCCAATTAAATGTCTTTCATATATCAAGGGAAACAAATTCGACAAGCTATTCGCTGGGCGTGCTATGTTAGCGGTACCTAGCGGATGTCATACATAAATAAATGTGCTTAAATGTTCAACCGACAATTCTCTATTGATCTGATAAATGGTTCCCGCAAAATATTTGCTCCTTTGTCAGGCCTGACTTGATTCCACCTTACACAGATTTCATCATATATCTATGCCACGTTCATATTCCACCAGCAGTCCAACGCAAGTGCGACGACGGATTCATTTACTCCCAGTATAGACACTTCGGCGCTCTCTGTGAACACATCGTATAAGGTATTCTTGCCTTCATAAGCAAGCGAAAAATAGTACGACAATGCCAACGATGGACAAATATACTTATGTGATTCATTGTGAAGTTTTCTGCTATTGTTTTAAACTTACTTGTCTTACAGTCTTATAGGGTGACAAGTATACATACCTGGAGGTTGTTCAAAATTAAGTTACTAGCACTTCTTTGTCGTTAATATACGTCGAATGAATGCTTAGATTTGTGAGAAAACCTACAATTAGCAATTTGTATCCATACAGGTTGCACGCACCCATACCTGTTTTTACCGAGTTTCTGTGATGGTGTCTACGGATATCTTGCCGTAGAAAGATTTGCTCATTTAGATTGGATCGCATTGTTGGATAATCGAGGTGGATCAGACAAAATTACTTTGTTCGCCCAGTTACGCATTCCACCCATCTCTAGTAACCCGCGAGAATGACATGTGACGTGGCTTGATTTTCGGCGCCGCTATAAAAATTCTAATCTCACTCTCAACTCTTCGAGAATGTGCTAGAAAACTCGACAGCTCATTTTTCCGCACGCAGTCTTGAAAAATGCTCTCACAGAACTCCAAGGAACTCTAGAAATCGCTCTCAGCAACCTCTTGTACATAAGCCAAGCAATTCCCTCCGCTTTCAATCTCAGTGGAGGTTATGTGCTTTGTTTTACAAAACCCAAAATGAATTAACTAAACTCGAAGAAATCTGACCAGCTTGGTTTTGGTACGGTCCCGTACCCATCCTTTTCACGCTTTGAAAGAAAGTGGGTAAAACTACAGGAACTTTTCTTAGGGGAAAGGGCGATCATCGACAAAAAAAAAACTTATTCTGAAAGTATACTTGCCCCAAAAACTTTTTGGAGAGCGAGAGGTAGCAAATTTCCCCAAATCCTCAAAATCATCAAAATCGTACGCAAAGTCATGCTAAATATGTGAATTTCAAGATCCAACGACGAGTAGATACGCAGGGTGGTCCCGGCTCCCCTGCCCCCCTCCATGGGCGCCCATTGTCTCTAATTGGAAATTGATAGTTTTGATTTGGGCCGTTTTATTATGTTTATATTATGTTTAAGTGGTTCAACTTAAGTCTGGAATAAATTGATAAAGAGTCCGTGCATATTTTTTTTGGGCGTTAGCCATTTTAAGCGTTTTTTATCTTCTTTTGAAAAATGTCTTTGTCTTTGTACACCACAGTGTGTTTTTGTTTTTTTATATTATATAATAAATTAGCTTACAAACTAGCACTCCTTTGTTTTGTTATATAGAGAGCATAAATGATGAGCGCATAGAGGACAAAAAGGAAACGCAATATAGCTAAAATTCAATAAACATGTCCAATGCATCCACACTTTTTATTAATTTGAGCTGACGACAATAGTTGTCCGTTCTTTCCCGTTTTTTTTTTCTTTATTACCCGATATTAATTTTGTTCTTCTGTTAATTGGTTATAGATTTTACAAACTCACATGAATTCAACAAAAATATAACAAAAACTTTCAATTTTGTTGAATAAGATGGGCGAAAAATGCCAACTTTTATCAAACTTACTAATGTACCACATAACGTCTGGGTCTGCTGTTTAGTTGAATCTTCAAGTTGTAACAGCAAACTTGCCCATCTTGGATCCGTTAACATATCATGAGCGTTTATTGATGGATTTTCAACCTTCTAGGAAATCTATCAACAATGGCAACTGGAAGTCTGTAGAATACGATGTACGTCAATTTGCAAATAGAAGCGTAAGCGACGTACAAGTCTACACAGGCACTTACGACGTACTCAATCTAAACGGAAAAAACATATACCTAGTCCAGGACAGGTACTTGCCTGTCCCTAAATATATATGGAAGATAGTTTATGCCTCTCTAGCTCCTAGAAAGAATGGTGCTATTGTATTGATTATTCTTAATAATCCATACGCTAGGAAAGTGGAACCACTCTGCAGGAGTATCTGTGGTCCTTATGGTTGGGGCAAGGATGAAAGGTCGAAATTTTCGAAAGGGCATGTACATTGCTGTGATTATAGGGAGTTCAGATTGAAAGTGCCGTTTGTTCCAGATTTAGACGTTACAGAGGTTCTTAGCGGCCCAAATCCAAAAACATTTGTCTAATGTTAGGTTCTTTCCAACAACGAGTTTCTCCTCAATAAATCTGAATGACTGAATTTGTGCCTGATATTCAGAATCTCCTGGTCCCTGCTACGTTATTTTAAGTAAACATTATTTGTATATAGTCTAATATATAATTTTAGCATCAACTATTCCATAATAAACCCATTCAAACTCTTTATTGATTTTTATTGAAATTTTTTTATATTTTTTCGATCAGATAAATAGGATTACAGGATCTCACTGAACATTTTTTACGCTGTAGTCGATTTCTCTCGGTATTAGAGGTGAATGATTATGATTATAAATCGTAGCCATTCAAGTGGGAAACGTAGAGTGGCTGTATCTCCAGCTCAACTATTCAAAACCCAGAAATTCTTGAACAAATATGGCACTAGACAGCAGTACAAAATTCTATACAATAACATATCAATCAGCTATTTAATTTCAATAGATATTATAAGGACAGTGTCTAGTAAGATAAATTCCTCGATAAGCTCTTTTTAGAATCTCCTTATTTTGGTTAGAAGGTTGAACCGGCGGAGCATAAAACGACCCCAAAACTTGACTTCTGACTGAGAGCGCAGTGATCGGAGTGTACCAGCTACTGCACATGCGCAGGATGTGTGATTGGAAAAATTTTCTCAAACAGCAAACTTGTACTGATACGACAGTTTGATACTAAACTGAATCGTGGAATCTCCCGCATAGAGTCCTAAAAGCTAATCAGCTGGGTGCGAACTTACAGGTTCTACGAATAACTTCTGATTTCGAAGTTATAAATTACACTTTTTGCGGGTAATTAGTCTTAACCTTATGAAAGATATTCGTGAAATCTGTGAGTTCCCCTAGCTATTATAATTAGCTTTTTGGATCTCACGCGTGAGATTGCACAATTTTAGTCTAGTATCAGAAGATAATAGAGCTTTGGAATTACATATTTTGACTAGGAATCCAATCAGGATCATCCTTGCCTGTTAAATTTGTTGGGGCTGAAAATTTATAAATCTGGTCAATCTTTCGAGAAAAGATCGAGTTTTTACCAGCAATTTGAAATTTGGGGAAATGTCGCTTAACATGGCAACCCTGTCAAAGAACCACTGATACTACAGGCGTCAAGTTTCTGGATCGTTCTCACGGCACAAGCAGCGTTGCCGTCGTTTCTCCTTACCAGGCTCCATGGTCCATCCATATATTCTGCCCCCGCCCTCTTGCAAATACTTATCTGATTATTGCTGAAAACAGCAATACGTTAGCAAATTATTAAGTTTATATGTTAAAATATTTTGACGTTATATATCTACCCTTTGGTTCGTGTACAACAAGGGCTCTAATAGGAATGGATTATATTGAGCAAAGAGTCGTAATAAAATGTCTGCAAGAAAGAGTATAGCGCCCACCGCAATTTATCAAAATATCATGGTAACTGTGGGTATGTAGTTGAAACAGTGATTGATATGGTGCTGCAAGATCGATATCTGGAATTACCATTAGAAAGAGAAACGCTACGAAAGTTAACAAGTGGCGCATTGCTCACTTCCAGCAATGATATAACTGGCCTATACCAAGTAGTTTTCAATTGGTATATTACGTGCCTCATTCGTCACCCCTAGCCCAGATAATGCCATATCTCCAGAAATTAAAACAACACAGAAATTTTCAGATGATCAACAGATATCTGTCTCTCAATAGTCTACTGGGGCTCTAATGAAATGCTGGAGTACCGATATACAAGGAGATTGATGGTAGAACGGCTTGAGTAAAAAAATTAAACATATAAATCAAATGTAGTTTCATTGCAAGGGGTCAGAGGTGGAACACAGGATCAACCTTAATAGAGCTGTTTCACTGGTCTCGTTTAGAAGAGCCGCTAGCGAAAAATCTGCAAGCCAATGCGAAATTCTACAAATTAGATTGTTTGCATCCACGCTGCTTCTACAAAACACTGAAAAACTTTTATCCAAAACTAGCAATAGCAGGAACACCCAGGAATGATAAAACTTTTTCTTGTTGTGTGTGTACCGACGCTAACATCAGCAGGAATGCTTGCAGGAATGGCGACGTCGTGCCGTGTCGTTGGTATTATAATATTTATTATTTGTGCGTCCCGCGTGTCCCCGTTTGCGTCCCACAGGCGCCGTAACCGGGTCCAGGCGGCCGCACTTTGCAGCCAAATGTAACTTTATTCGGTGAACGACGTCCCGAGTCGACTCTTTTTCAAACTCCACCAACACCTCTTTTTCGCGACTCTTTTACTGGCGGAGAAGTGTTTAGAATTACCTCCTAAGAGACATCACATTTTCATAATATTTTGTGGATACCAAGAAGTCTGTGAAACGATTAGCATTGCCTTGATTATTAAAATTCGCACAATTATAATCAACTTACTGTTTTGGAAGTATGTAGTTACTTTGGAATTTATCAGAATAAGAGTCGACCACCGCGAGGGTGACCAGCAGCTATCTGTTGGAACTGTAAAGGTAACAGTTGGCGTGGATAGCTGAAAAATCACTTTGACCACTTGGTGCCGTCGATTCTGACGTGATAGTAGATAATGGTTTATTCGTCATTGAAAACTAATAATGATGCTTTGGTCTGACCGACCAACACAGAGCCAACACAGGTGTTTCATGCGTTTTCGCAATAATCAGCGCGGTCTTGGTCTGTAGGCAAGACACTGGACGGTCTATACAAATACGATAGCGCAAGTGCTATATATTACCAAAATACATAGTTGGCCCTCTGCATGTCAAACGCACAAAAGCAGTGAAACACCTCTGACTCCGACCCTTAAAATAGAAAAAAAAATATATCTGTACAGACCAACTAAGAATGCGAGGAACCTATTCATCGTGAATGCTTGCGGCGAAAACAGTTATTACTAAAAGGGCCAGGATAAAAACATGGAAAATATGTTCAAGTTTCTGAGAAGACCGCTAGCGCATAACTGCAACCTTGAATCTAAAAAAGTGGTATTACTGTGAATTCCGCTATATTAACCTAACAAAAAGATACATGATCTTTAAATTCGAGGATAATCTCAGTTGCTGTATCTCTATCTCTAAAAATAAAGTGACGGGTGGCATTGAGATGTTTCCGTAAAAGAAACGACTTAGTCAATTTTAACAAACTTGGGCTAGTTGAAAAGAGCTATTCTTAACATTTGGAGTCTTGCTAGTTTCACATGTGGCCGTTAGAGGGCTTTTTCCGATATTCCAACAGCAATGATTAATTTTCTCAAGAAAGTGAAATGCACTTTTTATGAAAAAGTAGCTGAATGGTGTCTTAACAAGCTCGCGAAAACCCCATCTCGATATGTTGTCCCTACCATAAAATTTAGGCCAAAGAAAATTTTATACGGAAATCCCTTAAATTTTTATTTCTTTAAACTCATTTTTCTGGAATTTCGTTTTATCATGAAGTTGAAGTCCTAAAAGGACCGATTTAAAAAATAAAGGCTTTCAGTGCCCCCGTAAATGCTCAAACTGCTAACCTGCTAGTCTCTCATGGGTAGACAAAATTGCAGCTTTAATTTCGGCTCTCGGTATGTAGAGTATACCTTCTCTGATTGTAGGTTGAGTCTGAAACACAATGCCTTTTAATCGTCCCCATAAATAAAAAAAGGACAAGGTAAGTCTTGTGATCGCGAAGGCCATGGAAACAGACTTCTTCTTCCATTCCACCTCTGTTAAAATACTGCATTAATATTCTGTATGCGGTTAATATCTTCTTGTGTTCTTTTTATTATTTGCCGTTGAAACGTAGGCCGAAAACTACCATCGGCTCGTAAGCTCGCCACTTATCGGGGAAAAAGTCTCACATCGTGAAGACGCCGATTTGGATGTCGAGTCGCGTAAACTTTTTTTGCTACCGCGGCATTCTGAAGACATTCAAAACAAACTGCAAGTATATCAAAACCTTCACCGTTCGTAAATCGCATTTGGTAAGCACAAAAATTGATCAAAGTAACGCAAAACTACGAGTATTGACAACTATTGACAATTTGAGGATTATTTGTTTTGATTAGGTATTTGTTTTGTTGTATTCCATGGCCTGCTCCTATTAATTGCCTTTTTCGTATACAGGGTGTTTCAGAACTAAGGGATCAAAATGCTAAGGGTTATAAAGTGTAACAGTAAAAACATTTGAGTATAGGGACCATATCCGGAAAAGTGCCACTACGGCACTACGGTCCTAAGACACGTTAAAATTTAGAAAGACGATGAATTGCCTAAACAGGATTTAATGCATTTAATTTTTGCCTTTTGTACATGATATCATGACAACAATTGAAGGGTCGGCCGGAACAACGTTGTATATAACATTTTTCTATAAAATGAGATTTCCGTAAAATAACGTAGTGTGTGCCTATTGTAAATCGCGCCATTTCAGTCCTCCGCGTAACAACGTTGTATGTACGTAAACAAATAAGAATAACTATGGTTTATGACCCATTCCAGTGGGTCGATGTCATTGCTAAAGCCAAAGTTACAAATCCTTTTAAAGTTGTCTGGATGCACCAAGCCTTCTTTGAGAATTTAACAGCTTTGGAATATTGTATATGGAAATACCTCAAATGTAAAATTACACAAGGATTGTGGCTGCAACTTACCGCTGATTCTCCAGCTACTTTGAGTATGAGAAAATCTCATAATATTATGCAGCCCTGGAATTCATTTCCCATAAGCAATCCTAAAAGAAAAGAAACAATGACTTTTACCACTGATATCATATCATCAGAAAAGTTACCTATAATGTATCACAACCTTCTTCCAATCAAAGATGAAAAATTAAAAAACCTTGAGGATATGAGTGATTATACAGGGTGTCCGCAAAGTTGGGGTTTTGCTTTACACGACGTGTAGATCTTGAGAACATAAGCAACTTTTCTTAGTACCATATACACCAATGTCTTAAGGGAACCGAGATAAAGGGCTCTGCAACATCAAAAATATCTGAATACCGTCCTGTAGCCGCGACTCGCGATATCCTCAATTGGTACCGGCTACTAGCTCAACCCGACGACAGAACTGGGTCAGGGGTCGGGGTCAGTGTGTCAGGTCAGTATGCAACCTTCAACCGGCGGTTACGGTCACGCGTGTAGAGGTAAACGACCTCGTATAATCGATTGCGTTTCAAAAAACAACAAGCACTAGAGACGTTGCTAGAGAAGTGCAA